ATATATAATATATATATATATATATATATATATATATATATATATATATATATATATATAAATAAATATAGAGATATATATATATATATAAATTATTATTACGTGTTAGAGGTGAACATAGGTATATTTTTATTGAGATTTTGCAATATAAAATTGCAAACTGTATCGTTGCTTGCATGTTTCGCAACGGTAAGAAGAAATATATGAGCACGTGTATTGTTGCGTTGTAATAAATCATCATCATCCGAAATCATCTGTATATAATTAGAAACAACTAAAGGATCTTCACTGCAAGTTAAATATTCTAAAATTTTTGTATCATCAAGTGTTTCTGTCCATTTGTACCATACAGCGTACCAAATGGTGCTGTTCGCTGACACCAGACCATTACAATACATCCATCCTTTCCATTCCGATTGCGTTACAGAGCTGCGGTACCAGAAAAAAGTATTTCGTACAAAAATTTAGTTTATTTTATGATAAAATAATTCATCTTGTACAGTATTTGATGTGTAGAATATAAGTATACATAAAGCAACAGAAATTGTTTATATAAATATTGTGGCTGTACAATATCTTACATGCCACTGTCAGAATGTAGATCTCTTGTCATTTGCATATTGGCTACTTCTCTACATTCTTTGTTACCAATAATACATGCCCATTTTACGGCTTCCTCTCTTAAACATTCGATGAGATCGCTCTGGTATGGTTTTGGCACGTATCCTATTTGATACAGAACTCCACTCAATATTTTTTCCATCTTTTCCTGAATTGGTAAGTAGTATAAATTCCAAAAGTAAGTAGTATAAATTCCAAAATTGGTAAGTAGTATAAATTTTAATCTATTGTTATTTGTAAAAGATATGTATGTATATTTATACATATACATATATTTATTTTAACTTTTTATATATACAAAACGATTTAAAAGAACCTGATGTTCTTGAAATATCGTATTCTTCAGCGATTTCGAAAACGATTTTTCCTCTCGCAAAGTTTTGTCCGAAACTTAGTTTTTGCTGCTATTATTGAAAATGGTTCACTCCTCACACTCACACACACACTATGATTGTGAAGTATTACGTTACTCTTATGATGTGTTGAACAATCTCTGCCTGTCCGCTGTGTACGAGTAGCGAACTATTTTCACTTACATATATCTCTAAAACTAACCTATGAACAAACATTTGCTAAAGGAATAATTATCTTAATTATCGCTCAATATGACATTTTATGAACATTGTTTTGTATCACTCTGTGTACATAATGTTTTGATGCCATGTTTCTCATAGAAGCTTCCTGTTACCTACCTTTAGGGAATCAGTATTTTTAATTGAACCTATAACACTCATATGTTCAAAAGCTTTAAACATAGGATACCATGCCACATAATTTATTTCTCGTGATAAAAATTCAGAGATTTTCCAAAACACAATGTAATCAAGTTGTTTATGTGTGACGAAGTAAAACGCGTCATCTATGATTTGAGCTCGATTAAGAACATGTATGTCGACATATTTCACAGAATTCATATATTGCGCAAGTTGTAGCCAATTTGCAACATCATAATTAACACGATAATACCCTATTATAAAAAAGGAAGCTTTCATCATTAAAGTCTCTTGATAGATTTTATCAAAAATAATTTTAAATAATTTTATTTGTTTTTTTTTTTTTGAGACACATTTTCTCAAATTATTTATTTTTTAATAAAATATTTTACATTTGTTGTGAAAATAGTGTAGGAATGATTATCGCGTAAAAATGTTTGTTGTAAGTATGAATGACACGCACACTTGCCAGTATGCGAATGCATGTGTCAGAAGCATCAGGGTGTGTAAGTTTAAAAAAGCAAAAAATATACAAAGATAAAATATTGTGGGATCCGAATATTCCCGCACTGACCGATAGAAAATTGTCACGCCTAGAAACACTAGCTTTTTGTTATTATTGTGAGAGTAGACGTGAGGCGCTGTCCGAGCAGTGGGAAAAGAGTCAGTGGAGAAAAGCAAAGCGTTGAAAGCGAACGATTGTACACCGCCTTACTTGTTTCATTTTAATACTTCTTGAATAAATCATATTCTTCCTACAATATAGTGTAGGGGGACTAATCTCGATTAGTCATGGCAATATTCTATTTATTTGTTTATTTTGTATTGCGCGCCTTGAATCGCGTTGGGAACCGTCCTTGCCTCCCCACTCCAGTACCTACGGGACCCCGCGAGGTGGCAAATGAGTTAGTTTTAATAGTAGTTAGTGAGTTATAGTTGTGAGACACGCGCTATTAATATCCTACATATTTATCAAAAATTGTTTTCTACTTAATGAATCCTACATAAATTGGAGGCTCTGCCGCGATGTAACCAGACCTTTCGCAGAGTGCCACGTGCTTGAAGACAATTACAACGATTACGACGATTTACGACGGTTACAACGATTTACGACGATTACGACGATTTACGACGATTACGATGATTTACGACGGTTACGATGATTTACGACGGTTACGACGACGTAAGACGGTTACGACGATTTAAGACGGTTATGACGACTTACGACGAATACGACGCTTTGCGACGATTAACGACGCTGTGGATAAAAAGACGAAAAGAAGCTGGTTGTGCCTAAGACGACGGGGTACGCCAGGAACGACGAGGTACGACGCTAGGAACGACGAGGTACGACGCCAGGAACGACGGGGTACGACGTCAGGAACGACGAGGTACGACGTCAGGAACGACAAAAACGCCGGTTGATTTACGTTACGCCGAAAGGTTACGAAAGACATATAACCGCTATATTTGCAAAAAGACGTGTGCGCAAGTGCAAGCACAGCCATTGTTTAGTGATAACAAGACAGGATGACGATCGCTTACGTACGATATGAACTATAATCAAGAAGTAATGGAGACACTTGGACAAATCAAGCCGGTGGCTGACAAAATACGAACATCGCCACGCCTAGCTATATACGCGCTTTATCGGCTCGTGTTCGAAAAGGATGGTGACCGCACCAGTCGTAAACAGTTGCGTAATTTCCGCGGCTTTGACTTTGACGATGCATCGGATAGATTCCGAACAAAACTTGAGTATTCCGCTGTTTTTTCGATAGGTGATTTGACATCCATGTGCAATATTCTGGGCTTGGACTACGTCGGTACCAAGGAGGAGTTGCGACAGAAAATTATACGGGCGCTAATAGACATTCGTTAACATTACAAGAAAACGACGATGATGCTGAAGCCGAAGATAAATTTGACGAACCAGAAGCACCAGAAGAGCCGCAACAACGATGACAAATAAGAGTCGAGCGAATTGGTGACGTAGGCAGTCGACGAACGAACGATATTTCTTCGCTTAGGGGCAATGATTCCGAGGGCAGTGACCAAAACATACCGAGACGTAGAGGGCAAAATAGCTCAAGGATCACCTTTAACTTTAAAGATGTAGAGGACACTATTCGTGCATTCGATGGGAGCGACCACTATCCTATCGAAAAGTGGATTTTAGATTTCGAGGAGTTGGCAGCTTTGTTTGAGTGGAATAATATACAAAAGTTAGTGTTCGCCCGCAAGTCTCTCAAGGGTGTTGCTAAAGTATTTGTCCGTGGGCTAAGTGTCACGCAGTCCTGGGAAAAATTGAAAACTGCGTTAAAAAAGGAATTCAGTCGCAAAGTGAGTAGTGCCGATATTTATAAGAAACTGGCCAAAAGGAAGTTAAAGAAAGATGAGAATCTCCAAGAATATTATTTGGCCATGAGGGAATTGGCTTTTCAAGGAAATATCGATGTCGAGTCAGTTATCCAGTTCATTGTCGATTGTATCTCGGAGAATAGCAGCAAAGTAGTGTTGTACGAGGCTCGAGACTATAACAAATTTAGAGCTCGCCTGCGTATGTACGAAAGAATACAGGAACGAGGTGCCATCAGCAGCAGAAGAATCAAATGAAGGAATTAGCAGGTAAACCAGCCAAGAACGACGTTAAGCCAACGAAGAATGACCAGAAGAAGCAGACGAGGGCGACAGATCGTTGTTATAACTGCGGTGAGAGCGGACATAAAGCGAACACGTGTAAATTTAAGAACCAAGGGAAAAAATGTTTTAAGTGCAATAGCTTTGGTCATGAGTCTAAGAATTGTCCGGATAAAGGTGATTCAAAAAATACGCAGGTAACAACTAACGTTCTTTTAAAATCTGTCAATGTAAGTCAAATGTTTAAAGAAATTGTGATTGAAGGCAAAAGTTTCTATGCACTATTAGACACAAGTAGTCATCTCTCTTTGATGAACGAGGATACTTTTACGTCTATTAATGCCTCAAGGCTGTGTGAGTCAAAAGTGCTTTTGACCGGTATTGCTCAAGGTCAAGTTAAGACGCTCGGACATTTTCAAACGACGATCGTAGTAGATAGTTTTAATTTTCCGTTAACGTTTCATGTGATTCCTTCAAAAGCCTTAGACGTTGCTATAATTTTAGGTCGTAATACTTAAACACTACTAACAAACTTAAAAACTACTTCAGAGAAGCATTGGTATGACCCCGTTCGAATTGCTAATTGGAATTAAAATAAAGCAAAAAGACAATTTAGCAGTTAAAGATGCCCTCGAAAAAGAATTCCAGTCGCATTTCGAGCAGGATTGTAACCAACTGAGACTTCAAGCTAAGAATCAGATTCTGAAAGTACAAAACAAAAATCGTAAGATCTACAATTTAATAAGGCGTGAACCGACTTGTAAGTACAAAATTAGCGATTTAGTTGCGATTAAGAGAGTACAGATGGGACTTGGCAAAAAGCTTTGTGCCAAATATTTTGGTTCTTATAAGGTTGTAATAATTAAACCAAACAATTCTTATGATGTTAAACGCGAAGTGCTTGGGAAAGGACCCATGAAAACCAGCACATGTGCCGAGTACATGAAGCCATGGGCTAACGTATTGTAATCACTTAGGCTAAATGATTATTCAGGACGGCCGAGTGTAGAGAACTAATCTCGATTAGTCATGGCAATATGTTATTTATTTGTTTATTTTGTATTGCGCGCCTTGAATCGCGTTGGGAACCGTCCTTGCCTCCCCACTTCAGTACCTATGGGACCCCGCGAGGTGGCGAATGAGTTAGTTTTAGTAGTAGTTAGTGAGTTATAGTCGTAAAACACGCGCTATTAATATCTTACATCAGTGCTCGGAATTAGTTGAACATTTTAGCCGATTTCCGCGGTATACGCCTCCTTTCCTCTTTTTACCGCGTGCGCCGCAGCCGCTAGGACCAGCGCCGCCAAGCGTTAGGAGCGGCACTATCTGATGAGGTTCTGTGAGTAGGTTCTTCTCCCTATTTATTAAAATTTAAAAAAATTTATTAAAAATAAATTTTTATTTTTAAATTTATTAATTGGAAATATTTCAATAGATTTCTACCCATAAAGTAGTCACCCATAAAGTACTAATGTTGACGCGTTTTTAAAAAAATGGTTTCTATCTACATTATTACATTATTGCATCAATTGTTCATTCTCATAAAAGGCCAAGAAAATCTAATTAAAAAAATCTCTTTTATATATTTTTTTTAAATTAAGAATTTGTTATTTTTATCTTTAGTGGAATAGGCCTACGGGGGAAACCACTTAAAAAAAACGCGTCAGCATTAGTACCTCATGGGTGACGTAGAAATCTATTGAAATATTTCCAATTAATGAATTAAAATAAAAATTATTTTAATAAATTTTTAATAAATTTTTTTAATTTTATTAAATAGGGAGAAGAACCCAATCATAATCAGATAGTGCCGCTCCTAACGCTCGGCGGGGCTGGCCCTAGCAGCTGCGGCGTGCACGGTAAGGAGAAGAAAGGAGGCGTATACCGCGGAAATCGGCTGAAATGTTCAACTACTTCCGAGTATTGTCCTACATATTTATCAAAAATTGTTTTCTACTGTAATAATTTTACAATAGTAAAGTTAATGTCTAACATTTACCTGTTTGTTGTAAATTGACTATAATCCAATCATTTTCATCAAACTTTTGCACTAATTTTTTCGGTTTTTGCGGTGATAACCAGAATTTATTGGCAAAAATGTCGTGAAAGTTCATTTTTGATTTTGTCGTATATGTCACGAATGCTGAAAGATGTTCTGTATCCTCGTCAAAATCGAAAGTAAGATACTGGAATATTATCTCGTTAGTCATATCATTTCGTGTCACGTACAGTATAGGATAATATTTTTCCTCTATCCAAACAGATATAAGTCTTTTTACAATAAATGTGATTGAGTTATTTGGTATAATAGTTTGCATCATGTTCCATAAATCATTTGTTTGATTATATCTATAAAATGGAAAATTTTTGTAAAAGCATACATTGTGCGAATTTTAAGCAAAAATTTTTTGTTTGTATACTCAAAATTATTATCTAGTATATTAAAATATGAACATTTTCGCGGCCGCTCACATATTTTTACGTTCATGCTTCGATATAAGTCAGCAGCTGGTCACGTAATTTTACGTTTACTGTTTTTTGCATCATAGTGTTAGGTCGTGTAATATGAAATGTTGAATTTTACATCAGTTTAATATAATAGAGCGGCTTTTCAAGCGTTGTGCACAAGCAAATATACAGGGTGATTCAAAATAACTTGATGTCCTTGCAATGCCATATTCTTGAGCGAATTCTGAGACGATTTTTCCTTTTACAAAATTTTGTCCGAAGCTTAGTTTTCGAGTTATAATTGAAAATAGTTTGCTACTTACGAGTCCGATACAACAGACAGGCAGGGACGGCCAATGTGTCATGAGACGATAGTAATCACTTGACAGTCTCATTATACATTGCGCGTCCCTGCCTGCCCGTTGTACCGAACTCATAAGTTGCTACCTATTTTCAATTATAACTCGAAAACTAAGCTTCGGACAAAATTTTGTAAAAGGAAAAATCGTCTCAGAATTTGCTCAAGAATATGGCATTGCAAGGACATCAAGTTATTTTAAATCACCCTGTATAACGGTCGCAAAAGTGTTAATTTATATGTTTGTATAATTAGTGTAATAATATATTTGTGTAATTATGAAGGATAATATGTTGGATATATCTTTGCGGATTTGAAAAGTCTTTCTTTATCTAGTCTTATATTTGGAATAAATTAAACTTGTTTTTAAATTGTAGATAAAAATCAATACTTATTGAAATATTTTATTTTTTACATTTTTAGTTATATTTTATATAACTTGAACTTATAATTATATTAATAAACTTTCACTACAATATAATGAATAAAAGTTTCTCTATCTATGTATCTATATACGTTAAGAGGATGCTGAATTTACACTTTCTTACCGATCGAGTTTCAATTTTGTAATTAACACGGCATTTTTTATTGCTTTAATAGAATTACAAATCCTCTTATGTGGTTAAAGTACATACTCTAATACATCGGCAAGCACTAGTTTTAAAACGAAAAAAGAAAAAAATTTGGAAATTTTACCGACAAGCTGTCGATGCTTATAAATATTTTACTTTTTATAAAAATTATACAGTTTGTACATGCAAACAAGTGTGCTGGCCGAAAAAGAGTATATCAAAGATTAACAGGAAACCTTTCAAATTGAGTTCAAAAATGTAATTTTAAAATGCGTCGCGAATTACAATTATGCAAAGGATGCGAGCAATATAGACGATAATAAGGTTAAAAAAAGCAGCAGATTAGTTCCCGGATTTTGGCATAGAAGCGCTATACAGTTCTTAGTGCTATCTGTCATATACATCAGAATCTTTAAGGTTAGTTATGTGTGTGTTAGTTATGTGTGTGTTAGTCGTGTGTGTGTTATGTGCTAGGAAACCCGGCTGAAGAAAATGGGTTGAAAGCACTCTGAAGGATAAAAAAAGTGTATGTATTATACATAAATTTTGCAACATTTTTGCAAACATTTACATTATTTAGTTACATACATTCATATTCTAATTTCTGTAAAATACTTTTATTTATCTGCTTCATGTGTATATATTATGTATATTATATGCTCCATATTATATATATTCACATCAAAGTATCTATGTAAAAAGTTAATATCATTTTATATATTGTATATATTTTTATAATAAATGTATATGTCATATAACTTATTTATAAAGCATGAAATATAAAGGTATTTTTAGTTTCTTGTATGTATCATTCGTAAAAAAATCTTGATAAAAAAAAACATTAATTTTTTGACTTGCAATAATCTGTTTCAATATATACTTCTTTTAAATACTTACAATTAGCCTTATTTTATGCGTTTACCTTGGTATCTAAAATACGCATCAAAATATAAAATTAATTTCTAATTCAGTAAAAAAAAACATTGTAGTCTTACACCATAGAAAAATGGTAAAATATCATGTATATGCAATAACAAATAATCACTTTTCCACTGACATTATGCACAACTTTGCAAAAATAAAATTATTCTCTGATTTTTGAATGTGTAGTGCAGTTTAAAACACAAAGTCGAAATATGTCTATATTTATAAAATAATAGTTCTGATTTTTCATAAATCACAATGATTTTATAAAATGTTCAATTTTAACAGTTTTTATTGGACTGTAATTTAGACAATATTATATTTTGCCATTTCTCTGTGTTGTAAGACAAGAATGTTTTGTTTTCTACTGTAATAGAAATACATTTTTGATTTTGATACGTATTTTAAATACCAAGTTAGTCACGTAAAATAAGGCAAATTGTAAGCATTTAAAAGAAGCATATATTGAAACAGATTATTGCAAGTCGCAAAATTAATGTTGTTTCTTTTATCAAGATTTTTTTACAAATGATAGGCACAAGAAATTAAAAATATCTTTATATTTCATGCTTTAGAAATAAAAAATATGGCATATATCATATCCATTTATTGTAAAAAGAGTATACAAAATAATGTCATTTTAAAAAGATATTTTGATATAAATATAGATAATATAGCATATAATATACATTATATATATAAAACTATATGACGTAATAAAAATATCTTACAATAAAGAATAAGACAAGCCAGAGGCGGTTTTCTCGTGGAC